ATGTATCAATACACGTGTAGTTAACGATACATTGTTTATACGAAAATCTGCAATACAAAGTATCGTTTAAAATTGTGACGTTAAAATGTAAAGAGATAAAATATAAATAAATTACATTGCGTTTAATCTACATTCATTGCATAAAGATAACAATTAGGGGTGAAGGGGTGTTAGAGGGAGGGATTGGTAGTAGGGGTATTCGTGTTCTTAAGTAGTTTGAGAACTCCTACACGTTATTCGAGTTTGTCTCTCTTATCGTGCATGATTCTGTTCTCCTTGGTCTTCTTGTTTCTTCTCCTAATCGAGGTTAACTAATGGAAGGAGAGAAGTTTTGGAGGATAACTTAGATGCTACTAGTTCAATAGGTGAACGTAATACGACGTAATAAATTTGTACTTTTATATTGGCCAAGAATGTAATATAATTATTTTTGATGATGAAACGAGAAAATCTGAAAATGCATTTAATTTGGAAGAAGATTTTTAAGAGGTTTTTCTTACCCTTCATCTTCACCCCCTCTCAAATGATATACCCAAGTTTCCTGTAAATTTGTAACCCATGGTAGAAGAACTCAATAAATATGGTAGATAAACTCAATGAATTTTTATTTTCTAAATTCGATTAACATCGCAAACTTTTTCTGTAACACTTGGCCTAATATATTTATCTAAATCTATATTTTTATTTTAAAATTGTGAAAATAAAACTGAGTTGGGAAAAGGGAGTTGGGTCCAGCATTGCATTTTGCAATATCATCATTCGCAATGAAATTTATTTTTTGCGACGTTTCATTGCAACCAACGGATTTACCGAAAGTAATAAAGTATGCGAAATACGAAACCCAGAGGTTTTGAGAGGAGAGCCTGGAAAGTGCAGGAGAAGGGTGAAGAAGGGGAGGGAGGGTTGTGATGCGCGTGCATGTCAAACGCGGTGGTGCATGTGATCGCGCATACGTTGTATTTTATTAAAAATATCTCAACTCTTGCGAGAAAAATGGGGGAGCTTACGGTTACTGCGCCCCGTTTACGCGAAAAAATATTACCAGGGTTTTTTTTTTGGCTACAGAAAAAAGAAATATAAAATAAAAATAAAAAAAAAGTATTAAAAAAAAAAAAAGATATCTATGTATAATATATACATACACACATACATAAATTTCAAACTAAATCGATCGAAAGGCAAAACCCAACTTTGAGGATTTGACGTACTAATTATCTAATTACGCGTAAGTCCGTTTGTGTGCCCTAGAGGGGTAAAAGACAGAGGGTATATAGGAGTGAGAATTTTCTGACTACTACTCTCCTATACCCTTCTCACTCTCTCTCTCTTTCTCTCTCATTCTCGTGTTTCGCGGTAGGACGTAAATTCGTTATAGCGAGCACACCGAAGCTGCGGTTTATACATCGGAAGCTCTCGGTGAAAACACTTTGGTGTAAAAACAGAGTTAGTGGCGTAATCCCTCCGCCCATGTATACTCCCTTTCATCCCCTCTTCCATTTCCCGACATTCTCTTTCCCTCTCTTCCCAACTACCACCCCCATCTCTCTCTCTCTCTCTCTCTCTCTCCCTTTCTCTCTGTTCGGTTGCGTCGTTGATGGGGTACGTTGAGGGTCACAGGGCCTGCAACGCGTTGGATTCAGGCTCTTCCTGTCTTAGTGGTGTGGTGTTACCATGGTAACAGACTGTAAGCCGCTTAACACCACCCCCGTTACACCCTTCTGAATCCTCCAGACCTCGGCGTAGAGTCAACCCAAGCCCCAGAGTTCGTGATACCCACGGCAACGAGGATGTGTTGCTCGTGTTAGTAAATGTCCTAGCATGGCTGCTGCTACTACTGCTACTACTCCTGTATTCTCGCTGGGTGCGTCAAATATATATATATATATTCACCTTTTTATTCTTTTTTTTTTACCTTGTCGCAACCACCATGCACGTTTTCACATCCTCGTTATAACGAAGAGAAGAAGGGCCGACTATACGACTACGAAGAAGAAGAAGGTTCTTCTATCTAACTAAAAAGGTTATTCTATCGGTTAATACCTAAAGTTTATAATGGTTTTTTGCGAATAATGATATCTACTTTTAATAAACCAAAAAGAAGAAGAAAAGAAAAAAAGATTTCTTTTATCTACAAGAATATCTTACAAGAAGGTCCAATAATAGTATAGTAATCCTGTAATAGTTTTTTTTCTTTTACAAATTCCTTTCTTCCCTCACCCTAACTCTCCAGTGTTTCTCGTACCACCTACTCGTTCCGTATCTTTTTCTCTTCATCCCGAGAGATTAAATGTTACGAAACAAAGATAGAAAACTAGTAGACACTAGTACCCGGGTGTAGTAGTATAATACATCGAGAAAAAGTAGTAATGGTGGTGGTGGTGGGGACGCGGATGAAAAGAAATTGCGTTTCTGAGGCGAGCAGCAGCAGCAGCAGCAGCAGCACTTTAGGGAGAAAGAGAAAGACAGTCGAGGAGGATCGAGTTAGAGCAAAAGAAAAAGAGCATAAAAAAAAAAGAAAAGGGTGGATAGAAGAGAAAGAGAAAAATAGTAGAACGTGAAGAGAGAGCAGCAAGCAGGCAGGGGTGGGTAAGGGTAAAGTTGAACGGGGGTGAGAGAAGGATATAATACATCCGCAAGAGAAGAAGAAAAAGACGACGCCAGTGGTGGTGGAGGAGGCGTGTGTGTGCACTCTCCTGATGAGGAATTGAATGGAGGGCGAAAGCCACCCCTTCTTCTCGAAAGGAACGAGCCGGTCGGACATTCTCTCCCTGTTATTTTCTCATTTTAACTTTGGGAGATAAGAGAGAGAACGTTTTCTCTCGCGACACACGCCAAAGAGATTCTCTTCACCTCTTCTTACCCCTTTGTCGTTTCTTTTTGCAAAACAACCCCCCCAAAACAAAGAATCGGCCGAGTAGCAATGTTTCTACTTTTATTTTGTATTTCTTTTTCTCTTATATTCTTTCCTATTTCTATAATCTATCTGGATAAGAACAATCAAAAATAAATACATAAATAAAAAAATAAATAAATAAATTGATAAAAAAGACTACGTACTTATTCTAGTAATACTATTTTAGTATAATCAATAATAATATGATATAATATAAATAAATTTAAATATAAATAATTATAAATAAAATATTCCACTATTCTATTTTTTTTTCTTTTATTTTTTATTCATAATTATTGATTATTACGATCATTAAAAAATTAGTAATACAGTTCAAAATTATTATAATATTTCATATATAATATATGTATCCTATGTTGTTCATTGATCTTCCAAAAGATATCTGCGAAATTTGTTGCAAAAAGAGTATGTTCACACAAAACATACACACACAGAAAGAGATACATATATATATATATATATATATATATATATTTATGTATTTATGGATGTGTGTATATAGGTGTATATGCAATTCGCGGCCATCCCGAATACATTTGTTCATAACTAATCCCTGTCTGGTGCGTATAACGAGCGCTAGCCGTCCTCTTGGTGGCAATTAATTTATGTTAAAGTCATACAAATTAATGAAACGTTCACGCACGCGTGACACCGCCGACATTTTATCGTCGATCCATTAACGCCTATACTATACACCATTTGGATTATTCCTTCTCTTATGCATTATCATTCATTCCATAACGAGTAGCATGTTTTAATTTTTTATTTTTATTTTTTTTTCACCTCTTCCTTTTTTTTATTTTTTTTTTATTTTTATTTTTATTTTCAAAGACTTCAATGTTAACTTAAGAAAAATCGTTTGCCATGATCAACGATAATTGTCAACTCTTGATCTCCTTTTTTTTCTTTTTTTCTTTTTTTCTTTTTTTCTTTTTTTCTTTTTATTTATTATTCTCCTCGTATTTTTCTTTTTCTTTTATTCAACGTATTAATTTGTTTTTTTCTTTTTGTTCTCTCGTTACCTCACAACGCTCGTTCTCCAATTAATCATCGACAATGGCGACCTCGACCGGTTGACCTCTTTGGCGGGTCGCGTCAACACAAACTCGACCTACGATCTCGCAAGAAATTCATATATAATCCTCGATCGTGACCGAACACACCGTAACTTTACTCGTCGTCTATAATACTAGACATACATATACATATACATTCATAATAAATAATTTTCTCATTATTCTTATACGTCAATAAAATCTAAGACGAGCGTGTTTACATGCAAAATTGAATAATTAAAATTTTACTAAGTCTTCGTCGTCGTCGTCTCTCTCTCTCTTTCTTTCTCTCTGTAATTGTATTGGATTTATATAAAAAACTTGTACTTGGTAACACACACACATATATATTTTTCATTAGCAATCTTATCGACAGTTATTGATCAGAATAAAAAATACACATATGTAAATTGATATCGATCGATTACTTATCGTATTATTTACAAGGCTATTACCTTGAGCAAATATCAATTGCATGTATTATTCTTTTTAGAATTTCAAAGACATATCCTGGTATCGTAATTTTATCGTCAATCGAACAAAACGTGTTGCACGCTCATTTATATATATATAGATGTGTGTATGTATGTATGATCATCTCTGTTAGAATAAATAATTTCCTTCTTATTTTTTTTTTGTTATTAGTTATTTTTTTTTTTTTTATCTTCATTTGTATCCGTAGAGTAATTGCGGTTAACCAATTTCTTTGAAAGTAGTAATAATTTTAATGGACACGCTGTAAGCGTTCAATTTCCGTTGAAAAGCAATTTCACTGTATAAGTATTTATAATACATACATACGTACATCATACATATGCACGTGTTTATAACTTTGCGTTAACGATTCTTAATTATTTAACAATCAGTTAAATTATTTCTTATAGAAAAAAAAAATAAATTGATTGTGAATAAAGTGACGTTATAAATTTTTTTTCTATACTAGTTATATATATATATATATTCCTTTCTAAAAAGAACAGCAGTAACGTATATAACAGTGACCTCGTGATTGACCTAAGGATTTCTTTCAGGTCTCCAGCCAGCCAGTACCAAAGCACAGCCAACGTCTATTGGCAAATCCCACAGACCCAGTTCCGGCGTTCTACCTCAGGGTCATACTCCGGGACCCGGGCCAGGTGGTCAACAGAATAACAGAAGTTTCGCCGCGGCTTTGAGAAACCTAGCGAAACAAGCAGGACCGGCTCCTCAAGAAGAGGAACCTCGTGCCAGTCCCAAGAATCGGGCTCCACCTCCTTTGGTCAGAGGTCCTTCTCCTGCCAAGGTGAGTGATCGCTTCTTACGACCTTCCACTCTTTTCTTTTCATTATCTTTCTCTCTCTCTCTCTCTCTCTCTCTCTCTCTCTCTCTTTCTTTCTTTTTTCCTTTTTCTTTTACAACACTTACTTCCGTCCATTCTTCTTCTTATCCCTTTTTTTCTTTTTCTTTCTTTCTGGTTTAAAGTGAACGTACTACTCTGAGTGTAACTTACGACGACGACGACGACGAGAAAGTGCTTTGTCGTCGTCGTCATCGAGTTCTTTGTACAATGGCCAATGTTATATACTTCTGTAAAGGTTAAAGAATTTATTTCCCTTTTGCTAGTTTGGATATAAAGCAGCACTTTAAATGAATTTTTAATAGAAAGTAGATAAGAAGTAAGTAAAAGAGGAGTTTTTAATATTCTTCGAAAAAATCTTTATACAAGGAATGAAAAATATTGCAAAGGTTACATTTTTCTAAGATCGAACGAGATCATTTTTCCTATGAAATTCAATATTCTTTAAGAGTTAGAGGAAAAGAATGTAAAATCGAAAAGTCTTTTGACGAGAAGTATATAAGATAGTGAAAGAGAATCTTCAATCATGACCCAATATGAAGAAAACGTTCATTCTGCTGGAATGAGAGAGTAAGAAGGAAGCTCGGATTTGGTATAATCGAAAGATCAAAGCTTCATTTTCCTTTTCCCTTCAGTTTTTTTTTTTTTTTTTTGGTTTGTTTGTTTTATTTGTCTGGGAAAATCTCTTTGAGTTATTAGAAAAAGAAACATTGCATTTTAAATATTGAAAATCTATTGAATATAATGTATATCTTTAGTTGAATATAATATATTGAATTAATAATAAATATAATTGAATTTACAGGAACGAACGTCCCACGAACGAAGGCCGGAAGAGGTTCCTTCTTTGTACACGACGACTGCCAGACCTACTGAAACTAGCAAACATAGCGTGACTGCAACAACTTCCGAATTGTTGGCTCGTTCCGGTTTTCAACCCTATCGACCTGAACATCATGCTGCCCATGCTCCACCTGCCTTTGCTTTGGATCCTGCTGCTTATAACCCTTATCACCATGGTCTCTATCCACCACCACATCTGCAGCACGCTTATAGGTAAATACCTTTATCAAAATTAACCCGATAATAATATTCTATCGATTTTGTAGAAAAGTCAATAATAATAATTTATATCAATGAGAAAAATAAATAAAATATTGAAATAATTGATTTTCATTGTTCACAGGTTAGAAGAACAATTGTATTTGGAACGATGCGGTATGTTGAGACCACCGTTATTTCCTGGATTGCCATCCTATCCCCTTTATGGGTTAAGATACAGTCCAGACATGCTCCCACCTGCTTCGCTGGGACTGATGTCACCTGTGATGCACGAGCGGTAAGTAAAAAAAAGAACCACTCTCATCACTCTGAGAGTGCGACTACTACTACTGCTTCTACTACTATCATCAACTACTACGTCTCGTTTCCTTAATCAAAATCTCGTTGAAAACGAAAGGTGTCTCTAAGAAACCTTCTTGAAATTTAACGAAGCAATGTTTCTCGTTTCAGGCTGAAATTGGAAGAAGAACACAGGCTGAGACAAGCACGAGAACAGCAAGCTGCTATACGAGAGGAGGAAGAGAGGAGAAGAGCGGCAAGAAATACAGCTTCCTCTGCCCCGGTACCCGCACCTACACCTGCATCCACCGATACTGCAGGTGAGCGAGTCGCTCCACCCCCCACAGCCTTTCATTAAAAAGAAAGCGTCACGCGAAATCGCCAAGATCCGCTCATTAAACGCGTGATAACACCTCTCTTTTCGTCGTTGGCGCTACTATAGATTGATAACTATGAACAAAAATAAGGAACAGTATGAACAAACAACACGAACATACGATCCTAACCCTTAACAATCCCAAAACTCCGACCCCTTTTCAAAAATATTGCGCGACTTACTCTCTTTCGCCTTACATGCTTAACTTTATATCCAATTTCCTCTCTGGTATAATAATCTTAATCTTTCTATCTTTGTTAAACTATTTTCTATCATTCTCTTCTTCTAATCCCAAGCCTAACCGCGTTTAACGATCATCGAATATATCAATGTTTCTTCTCGTTTTCTTTTTGTTTTAGTTTTCGTTCTTTTTTTTTGTTTTTAATTTTTGTTTATTGTCTCTAAAACATCATCATCATCATCATCATCGTAGGTGTTCAAAAAAACTGTGGAGTCATATCCTTTCAAACATTCACTTTATTATTCTAATTTATTTTAACATTTTGATTAATATTATTGAAAAAAAGAAAAATATATTACATAAAGTATAATATATCGGTGCCAAGCGATCGTTCTATCAATTTTAAGAAGAATTTTTGTTAGTATAACGTAGTACAAGAATTATCGAGTAAATGATGAAAGAAGAATAATAAAAAAAAAAAAAAAGAACGAAAAATAAAGTCCTATATATATACTGCGAAACAAAAGAAGAAGAAAAAACAAATAAATAAAAATAAAATAAAATTTAATCGTGCGTAAAGAAAAGAAATTATTCAATGAAGAAGAAACTGACGAATCTAAGCGAGGAGAAGTCGTTGTAGAATACATTTGACTGTGACAGAAGTTTCAGAAAGAAACGAGGAAAAAGAAAACATACTACGCTTCTAATTTTAATCTAGATATATAAATATAATTAAACGAGAAAAATAAAAGAAAATAATATAGTCATAGTTAATTGTTTCTTATATGGAGATTTAGATTGATATTTTTTAGGTAAGCGCACACACACACACACATATACAGTCTCGACGATCATCCCCCAGTTAAATCTAATGTTCGTTTTTTAATTTTTATTTTATTTTTTAATTAATATTATATCCTTTCTTTTTCTTTTTTTTTTTATGTTAAAATTCATCAAAAAATGTTTTTCACAAAAAAAATTCATTAAAAAAAAAACAGTTTTAACCTTTAGATGGCCCCTGATTTCTCTCGATATCGTTTTTAGTGTAAATTTTAGAAATATCATATTTTATTCTTTTGTTCTTCGTTTCTTTGCGAAAGAGAGCGCAAAAAAAATCATCTTCTGCCTGACCTTTACACAATTTTAAATGGGTTGGGATTGACTGAAACGCGATCAATTTCTTAAGGCCCGATTTAGCGAAATTGTTCAGTTATCACTGCAGACCGAAGTCAGACTTTATCCATATACATTTTGTCCGCTAACTTTGGCTAAGTTTAATTTAAATGTCAAGACGGATACCTAAGTCGGCCTTCGGTCGGCCGTTACCTACTGTCTATATCATGTTCCAAAAAAATCACTTTGTAGTACTCGAATAAGACCTCTGAATGTACAATTACAGGTTCGTTATATATAATTAATCGTTTTATAGTTATATTAAACGTCGCTAATGGCGAAACTTAAACATAAGAGTGCACGCCTATCGAAGAAGGGCTGATTTTTGTTGAATTCTTCATTATCGTTCAAAGAAAGAAGAAGATGAAGATGAAGAAGAAGAAAAGATTAATGTTATCGCGCGTTAGGATTATTTTACCTGATAATATTTTTTTTTTGTCGTCTTGCTTTTATATATGCTAAACATTGTTTTTCTATTAATCAAATTTATAATTTTTTGTTTTTTTTTTTGTCCCATATTAGAAAATCTTTATATAGAAATATATATTCGAGAAAATTCTTATAATAATTATTAATTCTAAATCATGAAAAAAATTTGACGTACGAATACGAAAATAATGATCGGTGGTGTGACATCAGTTTTCGTAAGTTGTTAATTTATTTTTGTTTTGTTTTTTTTTCTTTCTTAATGTTTATTGTTCTGTTTTTTTTTTTTTTTTTTTTTTTTTTTTTTTTTTTAACTAATCTGGTGATGTACCTTTGTCGAGAAATGTTTAATTCGTTTAAATTAGGTAGCAGGGCATTTGTTGTAATACGTGCCAAGAGACAATTAGACAAAATACCGATTGATTAATCAATAAGCTCCATATTATATATGTATATGTATACTTTTTCAGGCGCAATGCACTCTTGCGTATTAGTTCCCGCAACTGTTTTAGAAATTTTTGCAAATAATCGCTAAATGTCGAAATAATTTCCCTTAATTGTAGTTAAACACGTTGCTCCTAATACTGACTGAATCCACCGATGTATATAACTTTATCACACATATTCTTTTGTCAAAATTATACCATTTTTATATAATTTATTATGTAAACATGTATATTTGGACTACAATTGAAAAATAAACATTGCAAAAAATTTGATCAAAATTCTGATTGTACTTGGAATTCTTGACCCTCGCATCATTTTCTGAAACAGTTTTGGGGAAGATTCGAATAATGTTAGTTAATGCACTTCTTGTCATTCGGATTTAATCGGTTAATTAGTGCGTCATCACCATTATCCATAAAAAAATACATTGGCATTGCTTTTTTAATCTTGGCTAAACTATGGTGACTAGCGATCGTCACCTTTATAATCAGCGTATTAGATAGTTTTATTTATTCGTAATTTTAGATATCTTTATTGTAAATAATCGTTAACGGAAATCATCCCCAATACTTTGAAGCGAATAGATTCAAATATCTTCCATAGCAATGAAAGAGAATATGGATCGCTAAGGTAAGTTGAAATAAACGAACAATGTGCAGTACCATAAAAAGGATATAGCGTTTTACCCTCTCGACCATCGTGTACCGTCTTCTTGACAAATAAGTCTAAATTTGACCTCGTTTCTAACAGCGCTAGCGAAACTTCTGAATTATGTTATATAACTTTTGCCTTAATAGAACAAATAACAAAAGCAAAGTACATCGATCGTATATATTAAAGATGAATATTATTATTAACGGCTTCTCCTCGCGTATTTAAAAGAAAATATTTGGAATAAAAAGCAAACTACCTAGGACTCTTATCGCGACTTAATCAAAAATAATCGGCAATCGGTCGATCAATTAGATTCAAGCATAAAACGGTAGACGAATGGAGGGTTACCAAGCACTGTGTTCGGGATTTGTTCCAGCTAGGAAGCCGACCATAGCGGCTCAGATGCATAGCGAGAGGGAGCGTGAACGGGAGAGCAGCAGAGACAGGCCGAATAGTAACAGTGCAAACAGTAATAATGCAAGCAACAATAATGGCATTGTTCCTGGTAGCAGTAGTCATCATCAGTCAAGAAAAGACGAGTCATCGTCGACGGTACAAGCAACAGCTCCTCAAGCACAGCCGCAACCACCACCACCACCTCCATCAGTATCAGATCCTTCAGCAGTAGCAGCAGCGGCAGCAGCAGCAGCAGCAGCGAGCATCTACCATTCTCGTTTGCCACCCTTTCCAAGCCCAGCCGCACCAATTGGGCCATCATCTCTGGGCTCTGCTTCCATATGTTCTGTTAGTTCCGCTCCAATCCCACCTCCTCTTGGAAGCACGTTAACTCCCCTTAATCTTGGACCACCTCCTCCGGCGATTAGCACAGCGCCGATCGGTCCACCTCCTATACCTTCGATACCTCCAATTTCATCCTTAACTGCAGGAGTAATAGGGCCACCACCGCCACTAAGTATGCCCCTGGCACCTATCATCTCTATACCTTCTCTCCACCTTCCTCCAGTGCCGTCGAGTACCATTCATTCTAGTCAACATACAGCCACGATAATGAGTAGCGCGACGACCACGGTCACAAGTTCTATATATTATCAACAACAGCATCAACAGCAAACCCAACAATCGGTGCAGCATCAGCAACGTTCGAGTAATAACACCAACTGCACCACTACTATTAATTCCTTATCGAACAATAATACAATGACAACTCACGCAACTCACACTTTACCTACACCAGGTGCAGCACCGTCCTCCTTGAATTCCATGAATCATGTATCCTTGACGCGCAAGTCTCCACCATTGCTGCACAGTGTTCATATACCTAGAAACAAGGAGGTAGCGTCGACAACGAACACCACGACTAGTACACCGAGCATAACAACGACCACAACTTCAATTACGACCACCACTGTACCGTCCACGACCACAACAACTACGAGCTCTTCAACGACGATACAGCCAGCCTTTGTCAGACCATTTGAGGATTCCTTCCGGTCTAGTGTGAAACCACAGCAGAGACCAACGATAAACTGTCACAATCACAGTATAGCTAATCAAATAAATCATCAGGAACCGACGTTGAAATCAGCAGGCACATCTACAACATCTGCGTCTGTTGTTAGTCAACTACAGGTGCAAGAAAATTCATCATTGGATAACGGCAAACCGGCGAATCTTCAACAAACGATCTCCCAACCAATTTCTTACTCACCTCAATTCCATCATCCCCACATACCTGTCCCTCCTCATTTGTCGAATATATACAAGCCACCGCATTTTTCAACACCGACGCATCAACATCAGCATCATTCGTCGAACAAAATGAGCATACAATCGTTGAGCGGTAACGGTGGAAATATCACAAATAATAACGTAAACATTGTTAACAATATGAACAATAGCAAACAACAAAATTCCTATTCTATTGGAGAGTATCAACAAACGACGCAACTCTTACCACCGAGAAACGAGAGTGCGCCGTTGAGTCTAGTTAATTGTACATCCAATGATAAAGTTCAAATCCAGATGAGTAATAGTTATGGCAACGGTAACTGTGTTGCATCCAACACTCCAAAAATTAGTAATCATACAAATACTCATCATAAAAGTAACATGGATGTTGTCGTTGTTAAGGAGAACAAACACAATGCGAGTAATGAAAAAAATACAACTGAGATTCACAGCAAACAACAGCTGCAGCAGCAACAACAGCAACAACAACAACAGCAAATACAACAACAACAGCAGCAGCAACAACAGCAGCAACAACAACAGCAGCAACAACAACAGCAGCAGCAACAGCAGCAGCAACAACAACAACAACCACAACAACAGCAACAGCAGCAGCAGCAACAACAGCAGCAGCAGCAACAACAACAGCAACATCACCATCAACAGCAACAACAACAACATCAGCAACAGCAACAACAACAGCAACAACAACAGCAACAACAACAGCAACAACCAACGAAACAGAATCACATAGTATCAAATATTTTACAGGAGAAACCCCTAGTTCCACATTTGAACTATGAACAGGGAAAGGGACTGCCGATTTTACCTTTTCATCCGGCGGAATTCAATCAAAATGAGAAACAAGAGTATAACAGACCTGATGTTGAACAGCAAAAATCTCAAAATGACCCGAACATAATGTCCACATTACCGTTTCAACCGAGTTTTAAGTTCAGTATAAGCGAGATCGCGCAGAAGCCTATTGATACGAGTCACTTAATGCAAAGCATCAAGTCTGAGGAGGTATTACGAACATGTCAAAACGTTTCAAACGTTCTCCTCCAGATACCAAAATATCAAGAAAAACTTTTGAATTTTTCGAACAACGAGCTAAAAACTGCGTTTTGTTTTACCGACAAGTGCAATAATTTGACTGAGATTTCCGTGAAGTGCGAACCAGCTGTACTGAACGTGCCCGATGTGAGTAAGGCTTTGGCCAAACAGGAGACGGCTAGTAACAACGAGCAATCTTTCGCCATACCGGAAAAACCAAAAGAATTGACATCGTCGTTGGATTTGGCTGAAAAGCGACGGAAAAGAAAAAGAGATAGAAACGCTGGGATTACTTGTAGTTCCGATTCAGAAGGCGAGGAAGACAACAAGGAGATGGACCTTTGGATTATTAAGGGTCCCCCAGCAAAGCTGCAATATTCCTGCAAGAAGTTGTCCTTCCTTGCCATGTTTGGACTAACAACTTTAAGTACCAGAAACGGTAAGTCATTTAAATGTAACTCTAACTTTGATAACAGTTTAAATCTTCTTTATTTTTCTAATAAAACTAACAATAACTATTTTATCGTTTTTGTAGAAATCGAGTTGTGCAAAGTTGAAAAGAGATACAGACTAAATCCAGATCCACCGGAACCACCTCTCGAAACCGAAACTACAATCGAATCGGTGTTACCGATTCCACGTGAACATCCGGATGTCCTATTACATTCGCCGGATTTCGAACCAAAAGTTGGTTTCCTTAGAACGATAGGTCTCAATGTTATGCCACCGCACAAACGAGACGGTAAGTAATTCAATTTATATCCTTTGAAAATCTAATTTCTTTTTATTAGTTTTTCATGAAATAACAATTTCAGAAGCCGAAGCGACGTGGCAATATGTTCTGCAGGATCGTAAGAAACGAAAGAGCACGAATTCTGTGACCGTTTATTGCGAAAGAATTGCTAAAGTCTACTCGAAAGATCCTCCACCTTTGCCGAAGCCACCTCAGAAGATGAGACTTTTGGATAAAGTAAAAGTTAAGCATGTTCCGGAACGACCACCTCCTCTTCCACCTCTGGTACCGAATATCGTTTCTATGTATTATCCAAGTTTTCCTATGCCTGGCGAAAATGGCGTTAAGCAATACAGCAAAGTCATAGACATTTCTGAAAATACCGATGAACATAGCGAAAAGAAAGAGAAGCCAAGGTGGAATGGTATCGAAGACATCATGCTGGCCTACAGAGAGTATTCGAAAGGTATCAAAAACTCGTACTACAAGGAATTCATTCAAATTTGCTTTTATTATTCCATAATTAACCCCTTAAGTAACACGCTCGAGTTAACTCGAGCGGAGTTGTATTACGTTTAGCCGAAACTGATTCTTTTTTGTCAGTTAAAAAAAAAAAAATTGTTCCTTAAGAGGTTAAATAAAAGAAAAACTGTAATTATTATTGCACCAACTCCGAATATTATACATTTGTATACTAAAATACAGTCGTTCATTATTTTTTTTAGAAAAAGTATTGGAGAGAAAAATTTTAACGAGCGAAACATCAAGATTGGCTGCGCAATCAAATGCATTGCGATCGGAAACAGTACAACTCGAGCGAAGGATATATGAACTTTTATCAACAAGGACAGCACTTGATTCTGAGAAACGAGTGCTAAGTGAAAAAATCGAGAGAATGAATGCACTTGTTAGGACTCTTAGGTAGCGATGTATGACGCACAACACGGAAACTCATTCATCTGTGATATTATCGGCGGGTTAAGGGCCGTTGGCATTCGACATACCTTACAAATTGTGTAGTATGTAGATAAATATAAAGAGAAATAAGCAGAAGGGTTACATTGACCAAAATTTTAGAAATTTTAAGTCTCGTTTCACGATAAAAATTCGACTAATCAATGCGGAATCCTTGATAAAAAATAAATCACACGCGGCATCATTGTAGTCGTTTATCCAAAGGGTGTATTCGACTAAAGAACAATTTTCAAAAAAAGAAACATTTGTATTTAAGGGCAGATAAATTAACATTTTATTCTAACAAAGAATCCATATCAGCGTGTGTAAAATGATCTATATATATATATATATATATTGAAGAAAAATAAAAGAACAAGAAAACGGAAAAAAAAGAACTAGAGAACAAAATACAAAAACTGAAAAGAATATGCAAGCTTAAAAATATCAAGAAAAAGAAAAAAGAAAAGAACTTGAAAAAAATTCTAGTATTTTCTATAGTTCTGGCTAACGGCTCTTATTCCACTCTACTATAAATAATTATAATTTGTACCACACATACTATTTTAATGAGAAATAGATAAATCGTGTAACTTATTTTATTCTGAGTAATGTGGACTTTAATGTCGAGTTAAATCGAAAACAGTAATGATGGAGAGAGAAAGAGAGAAAGAGAGAGAAAATAAAAATAAAAACATGTAGTAGCGATGATGGATCAAAAATGGGACATAGGATCGAAGGACATATACTCGTTCACCTGACTAGTTGGTGATGTCAATAAAAAATAAAAAATAAAAAAATAAAAAAAAAATAAATCATTGCAAGTGTAGATCGTGACTTTAATCTTCTTTTGGGTTTCTTTTTTTTTGTATTATTTTCACTGTTTTTTTGTTCTTTTTTTTTTTTTGTACAATTTAAACAATAAATATCACGTGCGTGGTGATAGATAAAATTTTACCATATTAATTAAGTTAATATATCAAATAGACTGCGATCACAATGAATTAGATAATAACAATAATAATAATAATTATAATAATAATATTAATAATATTAATAATAATAATATAATAATAATAATAATTATAATTATAATAATTATAACAATAATAATAATAATTATAATATTAATAATAATAGTAATAATAATAATAATAATAATTATAATAATAATAATAATAATAATAATAATAATAATAATGAGAAACGTTCAGGAAATAGTATCACGCGGTCAATTTTAATTTAATAAAAGTTCACGATAACTTCTAGTCCGCGGACATTCATAGAATACAAAATGGAAATGCGTTTGATTTAAAAAATCAGCGTACTTCAAAACTCCTTCCTTTCGATGTCCACGAGTTATGGTATATATATAACTTGAAGGCCAGCGAATACGATGAAAGTTAACATAATACAACCACGAGGTACTTAGGTAAAGTGACTTAATTTAAAAGGAAAGAAAGAACGTGAGACTTTGTGCGAGCACATTCCACAAAAAATAAAATAAAATAAAATAAAATGCTTGATTACCCGATAATCCAACATTCCGCGTTCACACTAATCGGACATGTCTCAAATGACTATTTGAATGTGATTAAAAAATTGCAAAAGCAGACGAAGAAAAAAAATATTTTTATTTAACAACACGTCATAATTAAAACCCTTATCCCCTCCAATTGACTTTGGTATCCTTAACTTATCTAGCTCTGCTCTCTGAGTGCATCAATTGATCATAAAACCGTAACCCTCAAAATATATAATAAGACGATCGTTTATAATTTCATTGTTTTGTTTATTGAGTGCCTAACATTATCCTACATTTGTAAATATCATTATTTTTATGTATTATATAACAGAAAGAGACCAAAAGCGTCTATCGGTCTCAGTCTGGCCAGGACGAGCCTAGGAGTAAATTGTTGAAAACACGAATTTATTGTGTGCTTTATTATCACCCATTACACATTTTCCTTGTATCAACACACATTTTGTTTAGAAACAATATCTTTATGGAATTAATCTTATAAAAAAAGTTTTGTTATATATCGTGTTGTATTTTTTTGTTTTTAATCAGAATGAATATTTAATAAATAAATATTTTTCATTGAAACATTTCTGTGTTCAACAAATATTAATTAATATAATAAGTTAAGTGTACGTACAAGTTGATTTATGCTATAAAACAAATTCAAATTTTTTGGCGCGAAAATTCATAGTTCAAAGGATTCCCCTAATATTTCTTTGAGGATATTCGTTATTCTTTAAAAATAAATTTAATTTACCTTTCCAAATTGCTTAAACGTATCATGACCATACAATAGAAGAATCCAGATTTAAATAGTTCCATAGAAAACTCTAGACCTTTAGAATTATACCGTTGAAAATCTCTCACGCATTCTCTTCCCACCGAAGAACAGTTATTGATTTAAAGAAAACAGGTTCCTTCGATAGATTAAGTTACATACCTGCAACCATTTTCCCGCCACAATTTTTACAAAACAAATACTTCATTAAGTGATAATAATTTTATTATTGTTAAGACATTATTAACGATAATAAAGTTTACAAAGATAAACAATTAAAATGTTAACGATAATCATTCACAAAATTAATTTTTCATGTTATATCTTACACTTAATTCTCGTTACAATCGATATGATGGCGCTTCGATCGATTTTAGCCTCGACGCCAAACGAATAGTTGTTACAAATAAGAATTAATTGAAAACATTTGAAAAATATATTTACAAACAAATGAAAATTCAAATTTAAAGAAATAAAATAAATTTACAAATTTGTTTCTATAACGAAACGGATTGATAAACAAAGATATAGGAAAGATAAAAACAAGTAGGAACATTTGTTGCGTTCCTATTGGTTGCTTGTTTAGCAGTTTCCGATCGGTAGCGTCTTCCCGCGCAAATGAACACCGACCCAACAGTCGCCGCCAAAAAATCTGACGTCCTGCAGCGTATCTCTTTTGTCGTCGTAGTTTTAACGAGTTGCAACGGTTTCTCATTCTTTCTCTAGCAGTCTAATCGTGTACAAGTAGTCTTATAGTAGATTCATAGTAATTCGAAAAAGTTCATCGAGCATTTGCTGTCATTTTTCTTGTGATTTAGATTGAAATCATCTTAAATAAAGTGAAAAAATGTCGGGTCGTGGAAAGGGTGGTAAGTATACGCCTTCAATAAAACACATAATAACGTGTAACGTTTTATAACTTTCTCATCTCATTCATTTGCATGTTATCTTTTCTTTCTTTTATCTTTCCTTAATAAGGGATGAGAAATTAATGGATTAATTAGATTAATTTAGAAGTGAAATAATTTCATTTTACTAGGAAAAACTAAGGGAAAGGCAAAGACCCGTAGCAGTAGGGCAGGGCTACAGTTCCCGGTCGGAAGAATCCATCGACTTTTAAGAAAAGGAAATTATGCTGAACGCGTCGGTGCCGGTGCTCCTGTATATCTCGCCGCTGTGATGGAATATTTAGCGGCTGAAGTACTCGAGTTGGCTGGAAATGCCGCAAGAGACAACAAAAAAACCAGGTCCGCCGAAAATTATTGCATATAATTGTTTCTTCTCCCTCGCTCCCTCTATTTCACATTTTCTATATTCTAACTCTTTTCTATCTTCCTATATTATCGTTTCTCTTATTCTTTTCTTAGAGTACTCCATGTTTTTTTTCTTTTTTTTTTAAATCATTTTCTTATGTTTTAATTCATTTTCTACAGAAAAAGGAAAAAAAAGTAAACTATTACTTTATCTTATTGTTAATAAGGGTGGTAATTTTACTATAAGATTAATGTATATTATACACGTATTTATATGTATATATATTTATTTAACAATTTTATAAATACATATACCTTAGCAATGTTCTTTAATTGATACAATATTTTTGAAGATGTAATCTCAGCAAAGTCTCATGAACTTGAATTAAAATTTCTTTTCTTTGATGTTTTTAATATAATTTCACAAACTATACTTTCTGGCCCTGTGTGAGTAAACAGTTATTATAACATAACTTTAACTAAATTATGTATCTCATAAGATCAAAGAATTATTATTTTATATATTTGATTTTTATTTTTCAGAATCATTCCACGTCATCTACAGCTAGCTATTCGTAATGACGAAGAATTGAACAAGTTATTGTCAGGTGTTACTATCGCTCAAGGCGGTGTTTTACCTAATATTCAAGCAGTTCTTTTACCGAAAAAGACTGGTACTGGTGGAGCCGGAAAGGGTGACAAAGCTTCCCAAGAATATTAGATTAAACATTTATTATATAAAATATCTTAGGAATGCGTCTTATTCCGGAAACCTGAAATGTTCACAGGCACAGTTTATCTTAATAACATTGTGTCAATTGAATACATTTGAATCTTCTATACTGACAATGTAACGTACAGTCTTAATTCTGCGTTACTTTCCAATTTTTAAACCTACTTTGTGTTTACCTTTTTTATATTTGTTTTCATTATATAAATAAATAATACATAAGATCCCATTTTAATAATAATAATAATTATAATTATATTAATAATAATAATAGTAATATTAATAATCTATGTTAAATTAATTTTTGTTGAATGTAGACATCTTATGTGAAAATAAATAATGACAAATCTTCACTTTATATATTTTCAATTTGTTTTCATAAATAAAATGTAATAACTATGATAAAATATTTAAAAAGATTTTGATATTCAATTATTTTATATAATATTTTTAGAGAGAGAGAATATACTTTATAATATACTTTTTATAATTGGTTTCATAAATAGAATCTAATAATTACAATAAAACTAATTATATATATTTAATTTTATAATGCTTTTATATAATATACTAAAATGAAGTAATTATTCGTTCTGTATTTGTTAATATACATTTAATTTGCATGCATACATATGTATATATATATACGAAAACAACATATATGGACAGTTTATTTTGAAAGTGGTGTCAGTTCATTTAAAAAAAAAAAAAAGATATCACGTAACTAATGCTTAATTTAATGTACACTTTTTATTGATAACTAGTTAATATTTAACTTCTTAAAAAATGCCTATGTTTTGTATAATTTAAAATTGGTCGGTAAAAGAAATTGAGTAATCATTGATATGAAAATCTTTAATTTTTACGAAACAAAAGAAAATGGACTTACACCATTTTCAAAATAGACGGTCCATATTATATATATTTCTATATATATAGATATAGACATACATTAACTTCTGGTGACGTTTGCGTTGGTTAGGAGACATCGTACAGAGAGCGCGTCGGTTCGACGTGACAATTAGATTCCGTTCAGACAAATAGATTTGAAAAAGGTTCATAACTGATTAATAATTTAATTTAACGTTGAAATAAACGTTAAAAAAATGTCGACGACAGATATAAAGATGCTTGTGGACATGGGTTTCAGTATATCCAAAGCGTAAGTTTCGAATTAATTAGTTCAAGCGGCAAAAGTTAACCTCTTTAGTTTACATTATGTTTTGTTATAGCGAAAAGGCCCTGGAAATTACAGGAAACAATGGCGTAGTCCCAGCAATGGAATGGTAAAAGTTTATTTTGTTTGATTGTCATTATTTATTTATTATTTAATTGTTATTTTATTTGTTCATGTCAATGAAAATATTGAATTTATTTAACAAGGCTTTTGGCTCATGGTGATGAAGCTGAACCTTCACCTGAACCTCCTGTTGCTGAAAGTGTACCAGCTTCTGTAGCTGATACTCCAGCACAAGATAGTAATGCTAGTACCGGTGGACAAGTATCTACGACAGAAGTTGCAAAGTCTATGAAATGTGATATGTAGGTACATGGTTTTTCACTTATTGTTCATTAAGTAATTTGACTAATTTCATATTCACAATTTTTCACATTGTTATATTATGTTAGTCATGTTAGTCACACTCTTATTTATTATAATTGTTCATTATCGTTGTCATGTTTAAATATTTTATAGATGTGGAAAGCTTTTTAACAGCTGTGTAGCTGTTGAATTTCATGCTACAAGGTCTGGACACGATAAATTCTCGGAAAGTACAGAAGAAAAGAAACCACTTACCGAAGAAGAGAAGAAAGAACAATTGAAATTGTTGGATGAAAAATTAAGACAAAAGAGAAAAGAAAGAGAGGAACAAAGTAAGAAGGAAGCATTTGAAAGGGAGAGAAATAGAATAAAATCTGGAAAAGAAATGATAGAGGCAAGAAAGAAGTAAGATGTTACGCTAATAGAATCAGAGTTTTAAGTAGATCTTTAGTAGGACTTAGTTTTAACATTTTTATATTTTTAATAATCATAGATTAGAAGAGTTAGAAATGAAGAAAATTTTGGAACAAAGGAAGAGAGAAAAAGAAGAAGCAGTAATTGCAAGGCAGAAAGTCAAAGCGCAGATTGAAGCAGACAAAGCTGCAAGACGTGCAAAAGCTGCTGCTGAAAACAATCCAACTACAAATTCTGTATCAACGTCCTCATTGTTATCATCGTCCTCTTCTACATCAACTCATCACAGAAAAGATTACAGCGAAACTAAGCTACAGGTAATCATAAATAGATATATGTAAAAAATAGAAGTAAAAAGATATTTGATTATTCTCTTTACAATCTCATGTAATATTCTTCAGATTAGACTTACAAATGGAAGTACCCTAACGCAAAGTTTTGGAAGCAAAGAACAGTTATCTGCCGTTAGATTATTTGTTGAAATGAATCGAACGGATGATAGTGGAGCATTTAATTTAATGACAAACTTTCCTAAAAAAGTATTCACAGAGGAGGATTATGATGTACCATTAGATGTTTTAGGTATGTCGTGTTTGAAATCAATTTACTTGACTTATCTTAGAATTGTTTTATTTATCTGGATTTTTTTAGGGCTGGTGCCTTCCGCAGTTATAATCGTTCAAAAAAAGACTGCATCGTGTTGAGTGGTTTCTATTTTTATTTTAATAATAAGAATGCAAACAATGAGCAGTTACATTATCTCTAAGCATGCAATTTAATTGCAATTAAGTGCTATATAAAAGAAATTCTTTTAATATGCGTTGATTATTTAAGATTGCAGATAAGTTTTTCATTACTTAGTTTTCAAAAATGCTATAATTAAGAAAAATTGAGTGGGAAGCAGGAAATATACGTTTGAAAATATTGTATACGTATTTTATTGTAAATCACATCAAAATATTATCTCTTCTTTTATACAATGATTTAATAATTTGTATAATTTGTTAATTAGTAATTTCAATGATTCATGATATATTCGTATATATCAACTTATAGTTTCTGAGTCACAGCCTAAGCTGAATTTCCATTTTTGTACTATGTGATTATTCCATTTACAGTTATCGAAGATTTAGTCTTAAAATTTTTATATTTGTATCACGTTATAATACGATGGTACAATACCAGGATATGTTACTTGCTTATAATTCTTACAAGTCTCAGAAGGGTATCCACTAATACCATCGCAATCAACCAATCGTAAATTTTTATCGAAGCAGATTTTAATTTCGAAAATATATGCTTCGTCTTTTTCCTTTAAAAAATGGCACGATTCGTTAATTATAAAATTACAATAACTTTTTCATCCTTAAAAAAATATGTTCACCTACCTTGTTATGCACGCATCCTATCTCTGGTGTCGTCCCAACAATTTTTTTAATTGCATTGAAAATATCTTGAACCGCATAACTGCTACCAGGTAGAATGTTACATTTTCCAAGAACATCTTTCATGTCATAAATATTCAATAATTCGAGTCCCTTTTGAAAATATTTGAATTCAGTATTTAATTCTGGAAGTATAGCGGCACATGTGCCATGCTTGATCCACTCGTGACGCCAAAAGGAATACGTATCGTTCATATTTTCTACATCGATCCACTTTTCTTCCAATTCACTTTTTATCGGATCCAAAGCACTCGCGTTAAATGGCAAAGATTGATTACAAAAATTCGGACCTACGGTGTGATACTTTGTTGGCCATATTCCATGAATGGACCATTCGTCGTTCTTGGGTAATGCACAGGCATGCGATTCAGACTTTTCCTTCCATACGTAACACACTGTTTGTGGCCAGTGTTGAGTGAAAATTAATACGTCGAAGTTATGAGAATCTTTTTCTTTATTTTGGCATTTTGAACGTCGTCTCCTAGGTAGACAATTTCATTTAAGTGAATATTTTATTTTCTACGATATAAATGAAATGATATATTATTCGCACTATCCTATCATGCATTTCCTATTTTAAAATATATTTCTTTTTTTTCAGTACTCGTATAAATTAAATATATACATATTACACTTTATTTATAAATATAATATCGAAGAATTATCGCGTAATACATTAGTTAATGTTAGTGTATCTATGATTGAATAACGGGACTTGCATATAATTTTCTAGGTCGATTATTTCTACATTATGATGACGTAAAAATAAAATGATCATCTCTCGGATTAAAGTTTACAATGTTACGTTATATAACAATTAGAAACTTAAACATTACAGTTGCAAATAAATCGTATTACTCACCCAAAACTAGGATCAAATAGAAGTAAAAGAAGGAGACACGTGACTATGTACTGCCGCAGCATGCTGTTAGCAACTTGGAGTCTCTTTGTTAATAAAAGAGACTGAGTTCTCGTATACGGTGCTTTCCTTTCGTTTCTTACACGTATTCTCACTCCCACCACTATTTTTAGTTATACTCTGACGTCCCAACTAAATAAAATAGAATGGAAGACGACAGCCCTTTAGTTCAGTGGTGCGCAATTGAAGAATTTCGATCCCATCAAAGGGGTTGCAAGTAGAATATCGAAATTACTGAAATTGTGTATTTCATTTATAATTATAATTAAATAAAAATCTTCAATATTTTAGTTTATTTATTTGAAATAAAATTAAAATAATACGATTCTTATATTTTGATTAATTTTAATTAAAGAAATATTTAGAATTCAGTTTGTATTTCTTTCACGTTTATGTAGGATTTGAGCACCACTGTTGTACCTGAAAGGCAGCTATGTTTCGACAGGTTTGGAGACGTCTCTCTTTCTCTCTTCTTTACTATCTTCTTCTCTTCTCTCTTTCTAGAAGTGTTATAGATAAGAATAACATTTTTTTTAAAGAATTATGTAAGGTCAAAGTATTCATTTTTCTTATCGTATTTTATTAATATTTTAATATTTATTTTGTTCTGTTACCTTGCCAGAGTAAATAACGTGAATATTTAATACAGTTGTTCAAACATATACGTCAAGTTAAAAGAACTATTAAGTTCGTTCTTTTTGCTGAGAATGTACAAAATTACTTTTGATGACGTACGAATAAAGTATCATTATCCTCTCATGAAGAATTATGCGTTGAAATTGATGTCTAAGCATTTGCTGCGTTGAACAATACATTTTATTGATATTATCGTTTTTTATATAACACATGTTTATTTCAATCATTTTTCTAATACTGTAATCTTCTTAGAAGATGATTTATTATCCGCTTTCAATGTGATCTATGCACTTACTGTCGTCTCACTTCTATTCACTGCTAAATTATATTCAATTCCGTACGGTATGCAACTTGTTCTACACGCATGATCAAATTCGTCATCATTCGGGAACAGTGGCACATAATTTGAATTCTTTTATTTTTTGTATGAGTATTTTGCATATCAATATTTAAAATTTAAATTTCAAATTTAAATTTGTTCTTATTTCGGAAATTGTCAAATATTCTATTACATCAACAACCAGTAAACAATTGAATGCTCGATATTCGATATTTGTAAATTTGTTATATTTAAAATAGTAATTTTGTACAAAATTGAATTATTTATTGTATAAATTATAATATTAATTTCTTTTTTTTATTAGTTATAATTTAAAATATATTATAATAATTTATTTTTATTGTTGGTAATGTAGAAAATGATATGTGTGATTTTAAATTTAAGTTTCTAAACAAATTTCATTAAGATAGAACATTAATAATAAATTATTTGGAAAATTTTCATTCATATTATTTTTTTTTTTTTTTTTTTTAGTTTAAAATTTATATTAAATATTATAAGAAATCGGCAAAACAGTTTACTATTTTTATCATTGATAGTCTTCATTACTGTGGACGTTAGGTGGCATCAGTTTTAGGATTTAAAGTTTACTTTAAAAAAATTGGTAATTTATTTATTTTTTTTTAGTTCATAAGAAATTTTTTATATTTTTTTTTATTTATGTGTTACTTAAATAGATAGTTGTATGACTTCAGAAGTAATAATAAACTTGGTTTTCACTAATGGTATGTTTAAATGGAGTAGAATATGCAGTAGGATTTCTCTACGGTCTTTCAATCGAATTCGTGGAATTTAATCTTTGGTTAGAAATTTGCTTAGAGAAATTCCAAAAATATTTATAAATTTTTAAATACCTTGAATTCCGAGAAAAATGTTTAACGTTTCTGAAAGTAATTTGCCGACTTTGATTTGAAAGTTAAAAGAACTTCAATAATGTTCGATGAACGAATTCCATCGCATATTTGATTTTTTAAATTAATTTTCTAATACAAGTTGAATAATATTATTTTATTAAAAAAAAAAAAAAAAAAAAAAAAAATTATTATAATTACTATTACATTGAACTTTATAATTTATAATGAAAAATAATGATTATTAATATTATTTTGATGATAAATTGTTGGATGTGGATAGGTAAATTGAAAATAAAAAAAAATCTTGACATCAAATGATCATTTATCTAATGAAATTATTTTATTTGCCGTTTACATCTACATGCACTATCTAAAGACGAGTATCGCGTACGAGGGAAAATCATTATGATGAAGTGGTACATAAAAAAAAAAGAAAGATGATTTTTCTTTATTTCGTAAATGAAAGAAATAGATTTTTTTTCATATACAGATAGTAGACTTATATTTTTCTACAAGAAACGCTGTCAATATTGTCTTGACTATTTTAATAATTAGACTATCTTGTTTATAATTATAGCAATTTATGTAAATGTATACAAAAGCGTACAAATGAAAGAAGGGGAGAACATTTTAAATGCTTCGATTTTTAGCAAGACGAACATTAATTCACACAGTACGGGCCAAAATAATAAAATTATAATTTATATACGAATAGAACAAAAATTATATTGATAATTATGAATAATTGCTTAATTTTTATTTTTTAATTCAATTAAATTAACTTAATTTAAATTTTCTTTCGAATATCATTTTTTTCTTTTTTTTTTCATACATTTTATTCTTTATTTTGTAAATGTTTATTTGTTTGATATTATTTGCATTGACACGCACTGCTTAGAGTATTAAACTTTATGCAAAACTCTTTTATTTTTTATTTTTTTATTTTTATTAGTAACATAAAAAACGTATACAGAGAAAGAGAGAAAGATAGAGAGAAAGAGAAAGAGAAAGAGAGAGAGAGAGAGAGGAAGGAGCAAGTTATCAAACGATACAATGATTTATGGGGTTTGTTTTGACGTTTACAAAAAAAAAAAAATATGAATCTTTACCTATAATCATAATTTCTATTAACTATATTTAAAATTTTTTATTTCACTTTCTATATTTTGACAAGCCACGAATAATGTGTATTCACTCAAAAAAAAAAAAAAAAAAAAAAGAAGAATTTTCATATTACGAGCATAATCACAAAGTTTTAGGTATTAAGGATCGCTGTATCTATTCTTCGTACTTAAAAGCTAAAAGGAAAGAGCAGGATTAATGAAAAAAGTAAAAAATAAAAACAGGGTGCAGGATCGAAGAATAATAAATCCTACCTTTTTGTTTTTCTTCATCTTCTTCTTCTTATATTCTTATTCTTTAGATTAAATATTAAATTAACTAAAGCTTACGGATTAATTGCTCGATTAAATACAATAAAAATGTATCATTATAAACATACAAAATCTTGGATACATCAAGGACCCGTATCGATTTTTGGTAAATCCTTCTCTTAACAATTTTTTTCGTCTCTTATTAATTTATATAAAATTAACAAAAAATACATTATTTTTATTTTGTAAATATCATTTGTCGTTTAGTAACGGGGGTTGAGTGGGAGAAGAATTTTTCACTTAGAATAGAGACAGGTCCTCAGACTAGGCTCGCGTATTCGAGAATAATTTCTAGCGTTAAACTATGGGGATTCAAAAAAAAAAAAAAAAAAAGAAGAAAAAAAGAAATTACATTAAAATAATTAAAAATTAAATTAAATTAAATTAAAAAATACGAGTCGCTAATAAAAGTTGTTTTGATATTTATTGTTTCTCTTTCAATATTATTATTATTATAGTTCTCTCAATTTATCATAGGACACATCACATCACCCATGATGCACGTTTATGTTAAATTACAAAAAAGCAAAAAAATACTACGAAGTGACATTAGCTTTGTTTTATTTTTTGAACACCACGTGGAAGTAATTTTTTACTCGACGTTCTTTATCACGATCATGTTTTTTTTTTTTCTTTTACATTCATACGCGTTTATCGTCATAATCGTCCTGTAACTTTCTCGTAGATGATCAAAGGGAAACCACCAACATTGAAGGAAGATATTATAAGTTCAAAAGATAATCTTAAAGTTCCTTTGAAGTTGAAAATGATCGACGGTGATAGAAGATGTACTCCGAGGAAAGTTTTATGAACGGGCTGATTCTAATCGATCCGACCTACTTTCTACGAATCACGTTACGTTTATAAGTAGAATAGAAGCGTGCGTGATCAGACGGTAAATACAGCATTAGAGTTGTGTCTCATCTAAAGATGAGTAGTAGTAGTAGTAGTAGTTACTTGATCTCGTCGACGTGGTTTTTTTTTTTTTTTTTTTTTAATTTTTTCCTGGCTAACAAAGAGAGAGAAAGAGAAAGAGAAAGGAAACGATAATCAGAACGTGATCATGCGACTCTTCTATCATCTACAAAAAAATGGCGTAATACATTTTATACATAATCGCATATGAGATATAGTATATATTGTATATATATACACATATATATCATTATAGTAAGTCTCTCCGTTAAAGGCACTTGAAATAAAATAAAAAAGTAATTAAACAAAAAAAAAAAAAATAATAAGAAAAAGTAAATGGCACCGTCAGGGAGGGGGATTATTGCGCTTTTTATTACGTTTGCCCTCGTTTTTCTGCTTTTCTTGTTTGTTTGTTTTTTAAATTCTTCATACGTTTCTTCTTATTTGACAAAAGTCAAGTTTTGTGGTGGTATTTATTTCCTAACTTCTATATCGATGATTGAAATTTGTTCCCAAATTGGCGATGGCGTCGAATTTGTCCTTTTTTTTAGGACATTTACCTTCTCGTCTCATGTACTCCCCAAATTCGCAGATTGGTATCACACATTCGTTATTTTGAATGCACCTGTAAAATTTGTTAGTTTTAATTATTAATACAATGGGATAGAATAAATAAAATTATGTAAAAATGAAAAAAATAATTAATTAATACTTACAATCTGTCGCTCAAAGAAAAATATCCTTTTCCTCGTTTCGTTTTGATGCAGTTTAGATTATGTTCGTAACAATAACATTGGCACTCTCCGTCCTGTGTAATTTTCGGTGTAAATTCTGAAGGACATCGGCACCTATAGATTCGATTATTATATAAAAATGAATTGTGTTTTTTATTATGCCAATTAAAATTTAATTTATTTCGAATTTATATCAATCAGACTCACGATTTTTTTGGCGGTGCTCTCCTCATATTTTGCGGTTGCGAAGAGGGCTGATGATGACGATAGGATCTAGGTTCGTGAGATTTCTCGTACATACCGTAATCCATTTTTTCTCTACATTCACATTCCGTGTGATTGTAAAATGATAATTTTTCTACCACGCTTGAACCATATAGGGTTGTCATCTGTAATCAAGAAAAAACAAAAACAACAAATAATTAATCAGTAAATTTATCACAAAAATTTATCAAATCTTTGCATGTATTTTGTGCAAAAGTAGCTAACGTTTAAATGCAAATTGGTGATTACATACTGTAATTGTAAAGTATAAAATATGTTAAATATTATTTATTTGTGATCAGTGGATTATTAAAAAATATTTTTAAATATTTTGTATCAATTAAATCTTTGCGTGCATTTTGTTTTTGGGTTTTTCATTTTTAAATGTAGACAAATGTATTCGATACGCAATAGCAAACCGTTGAACACAAACCTGCGTTTACACGCAATAATTGCAAAGTAGAAAATATATCAAGTATTATTTATTTGTGATCAGTGAATTATTTAAAAATATTTGGTTTCAAGAATTCCTTATCCATTTTAATTATATTTAATAAAAAATAAAAAAATAGGAAATATTAGCTGGATTACATCGATGTATCATAGTAACAAACATCTGTACGCAAACTGGCATTTGTCCCAGTTCGTTTAATCGTGCTATTTTGTTGGGCGTTGTTTTATTCAGGAATAAGAATCGTGAGTTGATAAAAAATATTACTAACGATCGTTCGGTATCACTTCGTTACTAATTGAGCTCAATTAACCTGACTCGCCTTGTGTATACTATATCTGCTATGATAAAACGAATGATACGAGTAAAACTTAGCCGTGCCATAGAAATGGAGAAAAATAAAAAGAAGAGATCCGCGTTACGGTGAGTTCGCGTTTAGAGACATGTCTTTAATTAACTTTAATTGCCCCACCTCTCCCACCCCTGTAAGTCAATGTTTGCACGTACCGATTTCCGCTTGTATATCTTACGTGATTCGATTATGCACTTTTTTTTGTTCATTTTATATACGTCTCATTTCTTTCTTTATTTTTTTTTTTATCGTTCTTGTTGCTCTGGTTGAATCAGACATGATTAACAAATTGTTTTTTTATATATTTTTTTTCTCTCTCTCTCTCTCTCTCCAATCATTTCTTGCTTGAATAACTTCAATGAAGACATTAAGGAGGAGAAATAAAAGTCTCGGAGGAAACATTATACTTAAGTGTCTCGATGAATAATTGTCTTATCATTAGACTAATAATAATAATAAGAAAAAAAAGAAAAAATAATAATCACAAAAGAAAAAAAAAATAACAATTCAAGGGGATCACAAAGATCGTATGATCGATCGATCGTACATTTCAGCTCGTGTCAGACAGAGATAACATGATCGAATAGTTTGTTCGATGACAATAGGCTAGCGGAACGAAATGCAGTGATCGTAGACTCGAAGGTGCCACCGATCAATCGCGTCACGATTACGTTTATGGAATTTTATGGTGTGAGAGGGGAGAGAGAAAAAAGGATTATGGTGATCATGAAGTTTGCATAGAGCTTGAACCAACATCATTTATTTTAACATATGAAATATATATGTGTGTATATATCTTAAGATAAATGTTAAAGGGTAAGCTAACGAAGTTAAAGAATAGACATATGTGATTTTAAAATAGTATGTGTCAGAACTTTATGGTTGTGTATATTATTCTTATCTTTAAATCAACATTTAAGGATTGTCATCATCAATTTTCAATCGAATATAATCGATCGATCTTTATGGGTTTTCTCAGGTTGTATTTTTATATAATCGAGTTAGTTATTCGAACTTTAGTAAAGGAATAAATAATGATAATGATGACGATGAAAATAATGGTGTATGATCGTTAACCCATTACCCACCAATGGCCTTTTTCTGGGATGCATTTTGGAATTTTTTTTTAATAACTGCAACTTCAGAATTAAATATATTTATTAAAATCATGAGATTGTACCCTTTGTGCTTTATGAAAATAATAAAAATTCTCACTATTTTTATTTTAATTATATATTTATTAAATATTAAATTATATATTATATTAAATATTAAAATTATATATTACATTAAATATTGAGTATATATTATATTGAATATTAAATAATGCTATAAAATAATTTGTATATTAAAATAAAAAAAAAATTAAACAATTATTGCAAAAAAAGTTCTATTGGATTGGCAACTAAGTTATTACTGATTTTGTCAATAGGATGGCATTTTCAAATCAGCAATCATTTAATTGCCAACCCGATATTAGGTTAGTATGAATTATATTATACAGTTAATTTAATTTTTTTTTTTTATTGTGGCGGGTAATATGTTAAAGAACAAAGAACAAATGTTCGATACTAATCCATTTAAGAAAAGTTAAAGTAAAAAATATATATAGAAACAAACGATTGACAAATTACTATACCAGATTCCAAGAGGGTGGTTTATCTTTCTTTCATTATTTCTTATTAAACGTCCTATACTTGTGAATCTCATCTCTGTCTGTCTGTTTCTCTTTCTATCATTCTCATATTTCTTTTTTTTATTCTTTGATCGTTGACAAAGCGTAAAGATCCGGCAGGATCTTTTGCAATACGAGAACCGCATCTATATTCCCTTCTCCTTTCTCTTTCTTTCTTTATTTCTTTCTTTCACGTGTGCATGCTGTCAAGTCTGTACACCAGGATTGAGATTCGCGATCGTCCCTGACGAATAGCCCGACCGAGAGATCGTGGTCATAAATTTAATGTCTCCGAGACACACGAAGGATAAAATCCCTTGAAGTTTACCTCCAATAGTTTCCAATGCATTCTCTGAATGGTATAATGTCTACATAATGTTCATACTTGTGTGTGTGTGGTTCGTTGTTATTTATCCATTTAGAAAACAAAAGAAAAATAACTTTATATAGAATCGATCACTCTTTCCAGGACTAAAAATATTATTATTGGTATTTGTTCATAATCAAGTAAAGTCAAAGTTACAACATTGAAGTATCTACAAAATTCATGATATTTCAAATCAACTAAGAAGCTTGTTGTTGTCGTCGGTAGCTTTTGAGTTTAAGGTTAGCGACCTTTTAAAACCATAAGACGGATTCTCAATCGTACCTTCCAACCAACCACACACACAACCACCCCCGTAGCTTAACTTCGTGACAGTTGGAAGATTACAGTGCGGCTTCGAGATAGAAATCGGATCGGTCGAGGAGAATCGAAGAGAGTCTCCCTCTCTCTCTCTCTCTCTCTCTCTCTTCAATCGGATAACGATCAGAGGGAGTATTCCTAATGTCACTCGTAACAGGAAGTTTAAGTTTATATATATATAATACTTGTAAATGTAAGTAAATGAACTTTGATCGGAGATCCGATTATACCCTTGAGTTTCGATACTTTCAACGATTGAACAATTTATTTCAACATTTATCAAGATTCTTATCATAATAGATAAATATTGGTTTGATCAGAAAGTTTGTGTGTTGATTTATATATATATATATATTTGATTATTATTATTTAACTCTTTGCACTCGAAATTTTTTTTTTTATTCATATTACCAGTAACTCAAAGCAATTTTCATTTAAATTTGTTAATCTGAATTAAACTTGTATCAATTTTTTATTTCTTTTATTTACTGTCTTCATAGTGAAACCCTCGAGTGCAAAAGGGTTAATATATATAACACAGATGTTACTTAAAATCTCATAGTACGATAAACCTTCGAATATTATTTATTAACAACGTTAAAAAATTGTTTTTTTTTTTTCAATTATTTTTATGATAAATCGAAAAACAATTCTATAATTCAATAATTTGTTTACGTGATTTAAGAATTTTTATCCGTAATTTTGTATTAGAACACGAGTAAGTAAGTAAAGTTCAAGCGGGTTGATTCGTGGTAGGTAAAACGGCAAATCCAGGAATTTAATCCCCCCCTAAGAGAATCTTCTCCGGGTAGTAAAAGAACAGAACAGAGCAGAGCAGCAGCAGCCAGCAGCTGACCGGACGGCTCATTAACATTCGCCGTATCTTGCCTGGGGCACCCACTCGTGAATGAAATACAAGAAGGAGGCACGAAATCACGTGCGCGTTGTGGATAACACCGTTCGGTGAACCGTGCGAAAAGAGAAGCAACTATGGGTTTTTACACTCGAAAGCCAACCTAGAAGATTTCGACGTTGCTCACGAATTTCATCCTCGTGCTTTTTCCTTACTTCTTGGTAAATTTACTGGTTCTTTTTGAATAATTCGTTCATTCGTACATTTGTTTTCTTACATAATCATGATCGACACGTTTCAACACCATGTTTTCGTCTACAAATACAAATTGTTCCTAATTTATCGTTCGTTTGATTAAAATTTGATATAATTAATGTATTTAAAAATAATACAATTTGTGTTTTATTCAAATCTAAGTAATAAGAGATACACATTAAGAAATATTATGTAAATCGTTAATAAAAAAAAAAAAATAAAATAAAATAAATCAACGAGATCGTGTTCGTATAATCGATGTGTTTAGTTTCTTTTCGATTTGTCGTATATATCTTTTTTTTGATTTAAACGATTACTCAAAGAACTTTCTAGATGCTATGTCGAATAGTGTGATAATATCTCCTAGTTTGGAAAGTAACCTCGTGGGCGTTGGAATCGTGTGATACCAGAAAGTGATTTGATAAAACACGACGCGTTTTCCTTACTGTTAGTTCTCACGCGATTCCTTCAATTATTTTTATTATTTAAAATACGAAACTAAATTTACACTTTCGCTTTTACATGAAAATTAATGCATTACATTTTTTTGACTAATCATTTTCACCTGACATTCTTTTCATTCGCGGTATCATAAAGATATGCTCACATACTCTCGTAATCAAGTTTTTATCATCTTTCTGTATATATATATATATATATAAAATGTTTTAAAATTTTCCATCGATAATTATTCCTTGGTAAATGGTTAAATGTTACCGTGTCGCAACAAATTACATCGAGGAATATAATAATCTGACAACAACAACAACAAAAACTAGCATAATTGCTATTGGAATGCAGTCTATGAGAACGTACGGAATTTCGTTTGAACTTTTCGTTGCACATTGATGATG